CTTTTTTCCTGCTCTCTGGATTTTCTGACATCTTGAATGTAAGGCAACATTATCCCTCCTTTGCTTCAAGTCCTGAAGTTGGTAATCAACGGATCAATGAGCAAACTCTGTGCACAGGTGTGCTGATGGGAATTGTGGTGCGATAGTTTCTCAATTTAATTTGTTTAATATTTTAAATGCTATTTGGAGAAACTATCATTTAAAATACATATAGAATTCAACCCTGCAGGTTGACGGGTGTTAATGTCAAGCCCTAGTTATAACTCTTCCAAAAGGAAATTGATGCCAGAGACTGATCCTTGAACCGTCCTTATCTGTAACTGGAATCCGGAGGCACAGAAGCGGCAGACAGACCAAATACTTTCATTGTGTTACATGAAGTAAGAAAGATTAGGTACTGTTAAAGTTTCCCATAACAGCTGCTTATGAGCGTAGGTTCCTCTTTATAGCGTGACTGTCAGAATAATCTGATGTAGCAGAGAACAGGATCTTACTTAGTAATAGCTAATCTTGTGGCATGAGGGAGATTAGGGAGATTTCAGGTATGACCTAAGAAGAAGAACCAACAAACCATTTGGAACAATGAACAACAAGGAGTTTTTTTTTCCATGGAGCTTGGAACCCATTATCTGCAGGCTTCGATGTTTCTGAATTTTCAATTCAGAAATCATGTGACTGAAAAGAGGGAAATGCAGTGTAGTTGAATATGTATTTAAAAGGGCTACATAATGTTCCTTTATTAAGATCCTGTTGGTTTATATTAGCACCTTTAAAAAGCTGCTCATAAAATGATGTAACTTAAACTACCAGTCTTAGGTAAGCTGAGGTGCCTGGATTTCTCTAAAATAAGAGCTATCTAAGAACTATTCAAAATAAAACGTAACAGAAATCAAGAAGTCTACCACATTGCATTGACATTAGACAGAAAATAATCTAGACTTTCTAGTCTTATTGCATTTTCAAATTCTCTAAACCTAGCTAAAACAAAATATTTTCTGCAAGTCTGCAGGTAAAACTGAAATGTTTAGTAATGAGTAGATTATTTAACAGAAAAAGGAGTTGATCAGCATAGTTTGAAGTAAGATTGCAATACTGTGCAATCATATATGGTAGTGTTGTAGTACTTGAGATTGGTCTTGGTCTCTAGACCATATTTTTAAGTTATTAATTTTATCAGGGTATTGTCGTCATTTTTACTCTGTCTTGTCTCGGTCTGAGACAGGGCAGGCTCAGTTTTCTTTGAAAAAGACTTGTCAGGACCATTGCCGATACCTTACTGAAAAGAGTTTAAAAAAAGAACCGGGTCAAATAAATGTTCATAAAAAAAACAACAAACACATAGTCCTGGGTTTTGTAATATTTCCCCTAGATGCAGCCATCTGCCTGCTGCCATTGTGACGCTAACTTACCACTCCCTGAGTGTACAGAACTGCAACAGGAGGAAAGTAACTGCATGAAGAAACAGAGAATAACATCCTGAGCTATCTCTATAGTTATGCTGCTATAGGCTT